AATTGAAACTCATGTGTAATAAAAAGCCGTAAATTGGATACTTGATAGCATCAGAACTCTAAACTTATATTATATTTTGTTTAATTGTAATTAAGATTATTTTCCTAATTGTATATTTATTTTTTAATTATTGGAATATATTAACGGTGTCCACAGATATTTGCTATAATATGTCCCTAAATATTATATACAGTATTTGCTTAAATTTGGAATTGTTTACAGTTAACATTTTATTTACGAGTTTACTTCAAACGAGTTTATTATGTCATAAAAATTCTCTCTCTCTCTCCCTCTCTCTCTCTCTCCCCTGATATGTGACGTAATGAACGAACGAACGCGAGAATGAATGATAAATGTGTAGACAAATGTGTGATAAGATTAAGCGTTCAGTAAGTGATAGTAAGTCTTCGAGAATGAGTTGCATTCGTGTTGTGTCTCGTATTCACATATAAATGGCAAAAGTTTTGTAAATATTTCTCATTTGATTTAAGTATACATTTGTCAGTTCACTAATACACTTGTTTTAATTGTATATGTAAATAATAAATCAAAGTATAATCAAGAAATTAAGGGAATTAATTACAATAAATTATATATTAGTAAATTGAATAATATAAAACATCAATAATAATAATAATAATAATAATTCATAACATGTGATAAAGTTATCAATTTTAACTGCAAGAGATGACAGAATATCGTAAATGTGGTGTTTGTGGTATAAATAGCATAAATAACCCTACTAAGAAATTTGGTAAATTTTAGAATTTTTAAAAAATTAACAAACTATTAATTTTTCAAACATGATCATATTAATTTAATAATTATTTTGATACAAAGGTGAGAATTATGTACGCCCAGGGAGTTGTATCTATACGTGTGAGGCCGATAGGCAGTGGTTTTATAGAAATGCCAAGTTCGCAGTAAGTTTATATAATTTGTGTTTAATGTAATCTAGTTAACAATTAATTCAATTATGACATTAATTTGTTGATTGAAAAGCATAATTATTTATACCTAAAATTAGTGAATCTACAAATTGTTTAGTATGTTAGCTCATACTAGTATATCAAATAAATTAATCTTTAATTGCTTGATATAACAGACAGTATGTCAACGGACTGAAAACGGTGCGCCCGATATGGCAATATGTACTTGCTCATCCGATAAACTTCATAAGTGTTTTAGCATCGGAATGAGATATGTAAGCAATGGGTGTTTAATTGAAATATTAATTATACATTTAATGAATGAATGCATTCATAGGAATACAATACACAAGATATGCCACAAAACAGCGCCAGACGTACCAAACGGCACAGAAGTAACACAAACCAAGGGACGGGGTTTGTGCCAAATCAGGGCTATAATTATAACCTCGGCACTGACCACTACTCGGGTCATCCGCCAACAAATACAAGCGCTATACAACAAATTAATGGTGGCTATACATACCCTGCTCAGGTACACTTACAGCAATTTAATGTATACAATCAAGGAATAAATGCGAGTGCAGTGCACACCTCGACATCACCACAAGTATTAGCAAACACTTCGATGACAAATTGTACATCTGCACCACCAATGAATACTGCTAATACACAACCAGTTTATGATAACCAATATCAACCCAATTCAAGGGCAAATAATGGTTACAATTTTGGCGTCAATTCAACGGGTAATGGCAACTACTGTATGGACACGACTTCCAGTCAACCAAACCTAACACATACATCGGGTGCACAGACTGGATGGTCATATATTGAACCCCTAACGCCAAGTTACGGGACATCCACTTTAGTCCACTCGATTGAAAGTACTTCCAGTCCTTTGGTTACCACTGGTGTGAATACGGATAATAATATAGAATATCCTGTTTTAGACTTAGTTGATCTCGAGTTGCCAACTAATGAAGAAACAGTAGGTCAGGAACTGGAATATATGTATACATACGAAACCCTTCCTCAACAACAACCCCAACCACCAGCCAATACTTCAACGGCAGTCGAGTCCTATGAGACACCACTTGTATTACAAACCAATGCAACCAATAATATACTACGGAATCAAACGGACAACTCAGTCGAGAATATTTTCTACGATATGATTCATACGTTAATTAATAAAATTAACCTTGGTTTGAGTACCACTACTAACGGAGGTCCATCATTAGATAAAATAAAAGTAAGCAAAATTATATTATTATAAATTTATTAAAGGTACTCTTGAAAACTATAATTATAACCAGTGACCATTATCCACAAATAGAAAATTCTAAAATATGAGAATAAAAGCCAACAAATGACCAAGGAGTTTGTGGACGAGTTAATGCAAAAGGGTCCAGGTGAGCTAAAACAGTTGTTGGCCAGGGCTGGACTGCTACAGGAGGCCGAGGCTGTGGTCGAGATGTTCATAACGAGGGAGCCCTGGAAGTCCACCACTGATGTCGAGTTAAAAGTGATAAAAGCACCTAAACTGCGATCAGGAAATTCGCGATACTTTCAAATGAATTCCCGTCCGAGGGGTCGGGCCATCATATTTGCGACCACAGATGGCCTGGACGTCGAGATAAAGCGATGGAAATCCATTTTCGCACAGTTAGACTTCAAGTGTGAGGTATATGTGGACTTCAAGTGCTCTGAGATCAAGGATAAGCTGTTGGGAGTGTCGTGTCAGCAATTCGTCGCCGACGCCCTGTTTGTGATGGTTATCGGCCGGGGATTTGATCAGAAGATCTACGGTTACGACAATCGTGAAGTCGATAATGAGATGTCGTTCACAGAAATTGTGGACATATTCTCCGCTAATAATGTTAAGAGTGATGCGTCTCTTAGGATGAAACCGAAAATATTTGTTTTCAACACTTTCTCTATTGGTTTGTATTTATATTGTTTATATTTTGGAGAGAGAGAGAGAGATCAAAATTTATTAATATATTTATGCACTTAGAAACTTACCTACAAATTGAAAATATCCGGATGAATCTGAATTCGAATAACAATAGAAGCTATGTCATTTATTCACATGCAAAATGTATGTATTACATAAACTGTCAAGTAATAGTTTTCATATATAATTTAAATAATGTGATTAAGTTACTAAAAACTAATTTCAGCTATAAATTCATGGCGTAACCTCAATGAAAGTATAACACTATTTGGACAGGCATTCAGTTATTCAATCGCACAGTATGCGTGCAATTATCACCTTACTAATTTAGTTGAAAAAGTATATTATGATATTCAAATAACTAGTTTACAATTTGATTTACTAAATCTAGTAATTGTATAGACGCTGAAACGACTGGCAGATGAGCATGGTGAAAATAATCATCCACAAATAATCCTGAACTCGTTAGGCATGACACGAGATATATATTTTAATCCTGGTCTTTAAATACAACAAAATTTTGCTACATAATATCCTTAAAATTACTTACATTTAAAACCAATGATTGGTTTGACTGTGTTGTTAAATGTAATTAAATTAAATCAAAATAATAATTTGTAAAAATCTATTATAAAATTCAAACAATAATTGGCATAAAAGACCGGAATGTAGGCAATTGTTGGCTAAATATAATAAATTATTGATAAGTATATTGTGGAAAATGATCCAGGAAATGTGTGCAGAAAATTTGTTAACACAAATAAATTCAATCTAGTTATAATACATTTTGTATTCATTCATAATAACATTTATGCGCTAAAAGTTAATAATTATCTTTACTGTCTAATTTTTTGAATATAATTATCTTATATACAGTATTAATGTGTCTAATGTTGATTTTAAAATAATATATTATCATGTTAAATTAGAAAATTGATTTATTCTCAATATTATTGTTTAAAATATTCTTATTTCATTTGATTCTACCACATCAAATATATAATAGAAATCTAATGTCTCAAATCATTTGTTAAATGTTATGATTACAAAAGTCTAGTTTGTATACTTGATAGCTCGGGTACACTGAACTTAGATTATATTCAACACTAGTTTTCATGTACGGTAATCAAGATTATTTTCTAAATTTTCCTAATTGTATCTGATATGTAATGTTTTGCATTGTTTAAATGTTTTTAATGATTTTGAAATATATTTAAGGTGTCCAGAGATATTGACAGTGTATTCATTATAATATATTATGTTAATTAATATTTAAATGTATACAGTATTAGTTTAAATTTGATACTGTTTAGAATTCAAACTATATTTACATTTTATTAAATTTGTTGAGAAGTTGGCAACAGTTTTATTTACAAGTTTACTTCAAACGAGTTTATTATGTCAACAAAATCTCTCTCTCTCTCTCTCTCTCTCTCTCTCTCTCTCCTGTACCGAAACCAGTATGAACTTTAAATTTTATTAATTCAATGTCTATGGGTATTGTATAATTATAATTATAACTTAAATTATGAATTTTATTGAATATAGATATGAATTCGTGATTTAATCCGACGGAAGGTATTACACTATTTTGACAGGCATTTAGTATATGCTAGCGTGTCATACGGACATTAGATGTAAATCGATTAAATCAATTGTGCCATACAATATAATATAATATTAGTAATAAACTAAATAATTGATATTAATAAATTATCTGTGCGTTTGCTGAATCATTGGAGCATGGTGATAATGATCAACCGAAAGTAGTTACCATTTCTGTGGGCACATCGAGAGAAATATATTTCAATCCGGGTCTTTATAAGAGACTAATTAAGTCTATTTGAAAATATTAATTAAATAATTGTATTGTATTTTAATTGTTACTGTTTTATTATTATTATTATTTATTATCATTATTATTGTTAATATTTAGATTTTAAGCATACAATAAACTATGTTTATACCAGTATATTTTATATGTTACAGTAAATTGAATTTCATTTGATTAATGTATTTGATTAATTATTGATTACATATTAAAACATTTTTTACCATGAATCGACTTTAAAAGATCACGCAATAATGTTTTTGTAATATTATACTGATACTTTGTAGTATTTTAAAGTTGTTTATAAATTAATTTTTGGACATTAAGTTTACATGAAAAATATAATTTGAAATAAGTTGAACATTTAATAGTTACTAGTTAGTAATACAGTATTTATAATATATTATATTGGTGCAAAAGTACTCGCGTCGACCTTTATATGAAAACTGTGCTAGCTAAAACAATACAAAAAATATATATTTTTATAATTCTTATTGACTTCAAGGCACAGAAGTTATAAGTTTGTACCAGCACCGGTATGTTACTAGCACCGGTTGATGCTCTGGAGCTAAAACTATATGAGATACAGAGATGATCAGGGTACCATTCGAAAGAGCATCAAAATCAAAGGATACATGCCCACAGAAATGGTAACTACTTTCGGTTGATCATTATCACCATAAGAAGTTATAAGTTTGTACCAGCACCGGTATGTTACTAGCACCGGTTGATGCTCTGGAGCTAAAACTATATGAGATACAGAGATGATCATGGTACCATTCGAAAGAGCATCAAAATCAAAGGATACATGCCCTTGATAGATTTTCTCTAAAATGTTTAGTTTTAGCACTGTGAGGCCCGATATCTCAGTAAAACCAAATTTCCATTAATTTTTAAAATTAAACCAAATGAGCTAGAACAATGTTATGATATGCAAAATGTAGATAATTTAAATCTCTATTAATATAAAATTTTACAAAATTTTGCTAACTTGCAGCACAGGGAGGAAATGACGATTTTATTCTAACATTACTACAAGGTTCAGGGTAAATTTAATTAGCACATTAGATAGATCTCGAAGAATGAAATACGCCTGCTTTAAAAATTTTCAACTATCTCATCAAATGACTGTTCTGAAGCATCTCAAAGATTACATTTTACTATTGATTACTGCCATAGACAATTACTGCAACAAATAATAAATTCAAAATCTTTTTCAATTTATATAAGAGACAAACAAATGTCAATTAATAAATGAATGTAGTATAGTATTAACTTGATAAAGTATATTGTAAATTATATGATTGGCTCAAATATTAATTATTCAAAGTAAAAGCATAAGGAGTTACAGAATTGAAATGAGAAATATTATTTTTATAAGTTTTATATAATTCTATTAAACTGTTTAAAATTATTTACAAAATTCTTTTACTTTATTCCAAAGCAAAGAATCATTGATTATTTGGCGTATTTAAAGATCGATCGATAAGTGATATTGAATTCAAGTTAACATTAAATTGACTTAAAACTAATGAAAATAAATCTTTCTATGAATTTATATCAACTTTTATACAATAAAATGCTTTATAATTGTTATTAAGACAAAATGTTAATTTATATTTTAATTAATTTAAATATAAATATTAATTTCCAACATAATTATTTAATAGTTTGTGGATAATATAAAAAGTATTCAAATAAAATGTTTTACTTTTTAGAAAATATATATAATTTCTATTTTAATTAATTTAGTTGAACTGCAACTTAGATTACACGTTTCCATTTAATTGAGTTTCATACTGTTTTTTGATGTGCCAAATAAATTATAATTATTATAACTAAACATTTTGCTTGATATATTTAGAATTAACAATTTTTAATATTATTAAACAATTTGTTGAAAAACTAGTATTTACCCTGTTACTTCACTCGAGTGATTAATATAAATAAAAATAATCTCTCTCTCTCTCTCTCTTCTGATATTAAATATAAAAATAATAAACGAAAAATGAAACAAATTTTATGATCTTTGTTATCATTAACGTTGACTTTTTTATGATCATTGCTTAAATAAAAATGGTGTCTCACCTAAACACAAATACTGCATGAATTTAATTAAACATTAATTTAAATGTAAGTAAAGTTATGTTAAAAATTAAATATAATTAATGCTTAATTTTAAGTTTAATGCTTATAGTGGGATGTCGTCCACTCAGCCAATGGATCCAAACAATCAAATGCCACAACCGATTGCCACCTCTTCGACGTCTATCTCATACAACCAAACATTCGTTGAGATATCATTGCAAGGAGAGGGTGGGTTTGGGACGGTATATAAAGTGGAGCACAAATTGACTGGTCAGATATCTGCCATTAAAAGGATTAAGATCGAATTAAAAGGTATTCTTAATGAGATTATAATTAAGACAATACTATGATTCAGACTATTTATTCAGACTCCGATGCAAATGCAACTGCAAAAACTTTGAAAGAAGTGGAGAATTTAGTGAAAGTTAAGTCACAATATGTGGTCGAGTGTTATCAGTCATGGCGTGAACCCGGACTCCTATTTATTCAAATGGAGTTCTGTTCACAGAATTTAAAGGATATTCTTAAAGATAAACCACAAGTATTTGGCCGACAATCAGGAGATCCCATGAATTTAGTCGAGTATTTCATTTCGTGTGAAATATTGCGACAAATCTTAGAAAGTGTTCAGTATTTGCATGAATTGAATCCACAGATCATTCACAGAGACCTCAAACCCGATAATATTTTGATTGCTGATATAATACGGAACGGAAGGTTTATTAAGTTATGCGACTTTGGTTTGGCTACAGTTCATGAGAACAGTATTCACAATAAAACTAAATACAAACACACGCCAGACGCGGGAGACAATAGATATATGGCGCCCGAAAATCTTCAGGGTAATAAATATAACCACAAAACCGATATTTATAGTCTGGCACTAATTGGTGGTGAATTGTTTGACATCGTGGTCCACACTATTGACGATATCAGGTATTTAATAATTAAATACTGTATGTATATTTACTAATTATTTTATTATAGCTCACTGGCATACTCATCAAATAGCATGCAATACTTAGCAGTGTCAAATTTATATAAATTATTATATGGGATGATTACACCCAATTGGAATAATAGGCCCGAATGTAGTGAAGTGATGGATAGATATAGCGAGTGGTCTATTGATAAGAATATTCTGATAAATGATAAGATATACAAGGTCATATTAAATAAGCTCGAGACTTATGAAAATAAATTTTTCCATAAATTCTTATCAACTGTTATACAACATAATGAGTCAATTATTGGTCAAAACTTATTCGACACACCTGCTATAAACAAGGTGTCATTAATAAAGTTCCTGGATGCAACTGGATTAGACCCAGAGATTCCCGATAACACTCCCTGGCCCTACACTATTGGCGTGGATTTAAAAGTCATAAACGCGTCAACACTGCGATCCGGGAGTTCCCGATACTTTTTCATGGACTCCCAGCCCAGAGGGCGAGCCATAGTGTTTGTGACCACAGATGGTCTGATGGATGAGGCGGACCGATGGAAGTCTATCTTTGAACAGTTAGGCTTTGAGTACGACTCCTACCGGAACGCCCCGTGCTCTCAGATAAGGGATGTGCTGTTGGGGGTGTCGTGTCAGCGTTATGACGCTGACGCTCTGTTTATCATGTTTATCGGCGGCCTATATAACGGTAAACTCCGCGGGAGTGGCGACCGACCGGACAATGAGATGTCGGTCACAGAAATTGTAGACATGTTTTGCGACAGTAATTGTGTGTCACTTAGAAATAAACCCAAAATATTTGTTTTCAACGCTTGCCGTATGAGTACAGATGTGGGAAAGGGTGGCCAACATATAGAAAGTGATATACAAATGGAAAATTTTCGCAAAAATGTCAATCAGCGCACCTATGTCATTTATGCGCTCTCTAAATGTATGCATTTTAATTTACATGAGTCTTATGAGGTGTAAATTAATGTAATTTATTTGAATACAATTTAGCTGTGAATTCATGGCTTAATCACGCGGAGGGTATAACACTATTTGGACAGGCATTCAGTTATACAATAGCGCAGTACGCTTGTAACATGCATATGTAAATTAATGTAATTTATTTGAATACAATTTAGCTGTGAATTCATGGCTTAATCACGCGGAGGGTATAACACTATTTGGACAGGCATTCAGTTATACAATAGCGCAGTACGCTTGTAACATGCATCTCACTGATTTGGTTAACCTGGTATGTTATATATTTGAATTACAGTATTTATATTATTATTATTTC